GAGTACCACTCACGGAGCTGCTGAGGGGTGGGGACGTCGCGAGAGCGCTGCTGCTGCTGCTGCTGCTGGCGCTGACTACCTCCAGTGGTGCTGCGCTGGGACGAGCCACTCCGACCACCTCCACCACCGCCACCTCCGCCTCCGCCGCCACCGCCGCCACCGCCACCCTCGCCCCCGCCGCTCCCACCGCCACCACCACCACCACCTCCGCCTCCACCGCCGCCACTAGTACCTCCACTCCCGCCACCACCTCCACTGCCACCCCCACTCCCCCCGCCGCCTCCACCGCCTCCGCCACCGCCCCCACTAGCTCCACCCGCTCCCTTGCCCCCCTTGCCCCTGCCAGGGCGGCGCCTACTGCTGGGGGCAGACGCCGCACCGACCGACTCCAAACCAACGAGGTCGGCCGCAGCAGCAGAGGCGACAGAGGGAAGTAGGGGGGAAGGAGAACACCCCTCAAAGATGGGGGTGCGAGGGTCACCACGAGAGGCCCCTACAGCGACGATACTCTTCTCAGCCGCTAGCAGGGACTTCTCAAGGAGGTCGACAGTGAGGGTGGTGGGACAGACAGAGAGAAACTGGTCCCTAACGGCACGAAGGGACTCACGGAGACGGGTGACTAGAAAGTAGAGAGTGATGTATATGGGAGGAGGGTTTGCGGCGCGGAACTCAGCAGGAAGCGCAGCGCGGTAGCGAGTGTCACTAGCGCGGAGGTGGGTAAAGAGGTCAGCGACTGTGGGAAAGGCAGCGAGGTCAGGGAAGAGGAACGGTAGCATGAGGCGGCTCAGCGTAGCGGAGGAAGGGGAGGAGTAGCGCGCAACTACAGCGTCGTACAAGGCCTGAGCGGTCTTGCACTGACTAAAGTGTGCACGCTCGGAGGAAGGGAGGTGGCGACGCACAGCAAGACGTGCAGCAGCATCGCGCGTGGCCCACTTGGAGCGAACAGAGGGTTCAGCATCAGCAGGAGGGGCAGGGACAGCGCCAGAGACAAAGTCAAAGAGAGAAACCTCATCGATCGCATCGCACAGTAAGTACAGCTGCAGGTCCTCGACCCAGACTGCAAAGTCAACGGTGCGACCCTCAGCGTCAAAAGACAAGACACTGGGGGTGACCATTATAGCAGCTGACAGTCTCACCGGGCGGGAAGAGTCGGGTAGCTCAGGAGTACAGCCACACAGCAGCACAGCAGCTACGGCGGCCCAGGAGCAGCAGCAGCCCCCACAGGAACAGGAGGCCGACACCTCAGGCTGCTCGGGCGGCTCGGGCGGCTCGGGCAACTCGGGCGGCTCGGGCGGCTCGGGCGGCTCGGGCGGCTCGGGCGGCTCGGGCGGCTCGGGCGGCGCGGGCGTCTTGCGGGCGACAGCACGGGCGACTGGGGCGGCTCGCGGGTGGCTCACGGGCGGCTGGGGCGGCTCGCGGGCGGCGCACGGGCGGCTTACGCGCGGCTGGGGCGGCTGCACGAGCGGCTCGTGGGCGGCGTCGGCTGCTCACGGGCGGCGTCGGCGGCGACGGCGGCGTCAGCGGCTCACGGGCGGCGTCGGCGGCGTCGGCGGCTCACGGGTGGCGTCGGCGACGTCGGCGGTGCACGGGCGGCGTCGGCGTCGTGGGCGGCTCACGGGCGGGCGGCTCACGTGCGGGCGGCACACGGGCGAGCGGCTCACGGGCGGCGGCTCACGGGCGACGGCTCACGGGCGGCGGCGTCACGGGCGGCGGCGCACCAGCGGCGGTTGACGGGCGGCTGCGCTGACGGGCGGCGCTCACGGGCGGTGCTCACGGGCGGCGCTCACGGGCGGCGCTCACGGGCGGCGGCGCACGGGCGGCAGCGCACGGACAGGCCGCGGGCGGCGAACGGGCGCTAGGGCGGGCGCTGGGTGCTAGGGCGCTAGGGCAGGCGCTAGGGCGGGCGCTAAGGCGGCCGCTAGGGCGGGCGCTAGGGCGCTAGGGCGGGCGCTAGCGTAGGCGCTAGGGCGCAAGGCGCTAGGGCAGAAAAAAATTTAAGTGGTGGGCCCTAAGCACAGTTCCCACAGGGGAACCTGCTCTGATTCCATGAGAAGAAGCGAACGAGAATGGATGAACTATGAATGAAGTGAGTACAAATATGAAACCCTAATTGGGTTGTACCCCCTATGGGATACCCCACTATAGCCTACACAAATGAGTAAGCTATAATGTTCTCACAGACCGCAACCGGCCGAGTAAGCGGCGTAAGTGTGGTGCGGTCTCGAAAGAAGGAGCGGGAAGCACCCGAGTCAAGGGTGAAGGTGTCTAAGGCCTGAGCCGACGTAGTACCTGAGAGAGCAGACTCACCAGCACCTGGGGCAGCAGACGCACTAGCACCTAGAGCAGCAGACTGGATACCGACGTCAGGCGGCACACACAGGTGACAGACTCCCTCGGCACTAGTAGACAATGCATACATTGCAGTGAGAATAGCATCATAGTCAAGAGCAAAGATATCTACCCTCTGCCTAAGCAGCTCCACCCAGTCGGGGAGCTCAGCGTCGTCGCCAAACTCTGTACGCCAAGTGTCGCTTAGACGGGCAAAGTAGCGGGACTCTTTCTGACCACGCGTCCCGCAAGTCTAACCAGTCCGGACACCCGTGCTAATAATGCACGGGCAGCGAGCAGTACTCAGCGACCCTCCACTCTGAGCGTACCACTCACGAAGCTGCTGGGGTGAGAGAGTCTCGCGCGAACAACGCTGGTGCTGCACTGGGCCACTACAAGAAATTCTCGAACTACCCACTCCATGACGACTCCCACTAGTGCCACCCCGACAACCCCAACTGGTGTACCACTCACGAAGCTGTTGGGGGGTGAGGGACTCACGTGGGCGACGCTGGAGCTGCATCTGGCCACGCCAGGAGTAGTAGTAGCAGTCGAAAGAGCAGCAGCAGTAACAGCAGTACGGGCAGGGCAGTGCTCACCAGTGGCGAGAAGGGCAGGCGCACGACGGCGGCAACGGCGATGCTGCTACCACTGTAGAGCAAGAGCTCCGCGGCAGATGCAGGGGTGGCTGCTCCAGGGGCGGCTGCTGCAGTGGCAGCTGCTCCAGGGGCGGCTGCTCAGGGGCGGCTGCTCCAGGGGCGGCTGCTGCAGGGGCGGCTGCTCTAGGGGCGGCTGCTGCAGTGGCGGCTGCTCCAGGGGCGGCTGCTGTAGTGGCGGCTGCTCCATGGGCGGCTGCTGCTGCTGGGCGGCTCGGCGGCTTGGCTGCCCGCTAGGGGCGGCGACGGGGCCGGGTAAGGGCGGCGACGGGGCCGCGTAGGGAGGGGCGCGGCGACGGGGCCGCTAGGGGCAGCGACGGGGCCGCGTAGGGGCGGCTACGAGGCCGCGTCGGGGCGGGGACGGGGCCGCGTAGGGAGGGAGGCGGCGACGGTTCCGCTAGGGGCGGCGACAAGTCCGCGTAGGGGCGAGGACGGGGCCGCTAGAGGCGGCGACGGGGCCGTGAAGGGGCGGCGACGGGGCCGCGTATGGAGGGGAGCGGCGACGGGGTCGCTAGAGGCGGCGTCGGGGCCGCGTAGGGGCGGCGTCAGGGCCGCGTAGGGGCGGCAACGGGGCCACGTAGGGAGGTCAGCGGCGACGGGGCCGCTACGGGCGGCGACGGGGCCGCTAGGGGCGGCGACGGGGCCGCGTAGGGGCGGCTACGGGGCCGCGTAGGGAGGGGAGCGGCTACGGGGCCGCTAGGGGCGGCGACGGGGCCACGCAGGGGCGGCGACGGGGCCGCTAGGGGCGGCGACGGGGCCGCGTAGGGGCGGCAACGGGGCCGCGTAGGGAGGGAGGCGGCCACAGGGCCGCTAGGGGCGGCGACAGGGCCGCTAGGGGCGGCGACGGGGCCGCGTAGGGGCGGCGACGGGGCCGCTAAGGGCGGCGACGGGGCCTTCTCCTTCACAACTCTCTCGATACTTCTCCTTACCCTCGAACTTAACTACCAAGTCACCTAAACCTATGGCTCCTAAGCCCACCCATACTTATTAACTCAACAAATGTGTATAGATCTTAACGCATTAGAAACATCAATTGTTAAGAATCATAAACATCCACGTTGAAACGAATCGTTTGAACCATAAAAAAACGTTTGCCATATTCCTTGAATGGTAGACCAAAATTTGACGCTTTTAAAAAACTGCAATTTTTGTCAACTAAGAATGTAACATCTATGCAACCCTTCCGATATTAACTTCGAGTCTTGTTCTTTATTATTGAAATTAAGCTTTTTTTTTTTTTTGGCGATCTATACAAGCACTGCCATAAATATGGGTCTTGCTTAGTCAAGTTGGAGTGCTGTAAGAAAATATGTATCACCTCAAGTGTAAAGCCAATCTTATGGTTGCGATAGCCTTTTATGCAACATTTTAACGAGCAAACTTCATAACGAGCATTAGTTTCGCCGGAGATCATGGAACAGGGAGAAGCTCGAGAGTTGATTGAGCCATCACTTGAGTCGCCTTTCCCATACCGCTGGAGGTGGAATTTATTCGCTTACGTGGTTTCACATCATGCTTGACACTCCTCGAAGCTGACTGGTTGTTCTGATTCGTTCTCCAGAGATCTAGGACGAATGCAGCAACCACTCTCGAACTGCCATCTCAGATTTATGACGAGCCGGATGGTTCTCTATGGGCCTCTCGTTCAATGAGGCAGCCTCGTTACAAGCTCACGGTGGCGGAATCTCAAGAGACTCGCCAACTGTGTCATGACTGAAGCAACCCGAAACGACGGAACCCATTCCCTTGGCTGCCACGTCACCTTAATGAATTTGTCGGCGAGCGACCCGGGACAGCCTAGCTCGCCCACCGCGAAAGTCCCTAGATTCCATAGCTAAGAACCTAGAGCCCTCTTCCTACCCATCTATAAACAGGCGGAACCTCTACCCTCTACCAACAGAAATTTTTTGCGCAACTTTAAAACTGTGTATTACACGTATAGAGCTCAGCACTTGCTTCCGACGCTCCGCTGCAGCATTTCTTGTCACAATGGCGACCGCTCCCGTCTCCTCGGCGATGAAGGCCTCCCTCTCGACGACTAAGGCGTCCCTCGCCTCGCCCGTGGTCTCCGGCCCTGGCTCAGCCAACATCGCGCGCTTCGATGGGCTCAAGTCGACCTCCGTCTTCGCGGGCGCCAAGCACACCTCCCAGGCCGCTCAGCTGCGCGCCAAGTCCACGGCGGTGCAAAGCACCGAGGCGCAGCGCGGCGTGGTGCGGTGCGAGCAGACGGAGCCCGGCATGAAGCTGGTGTTCGTGTCGGCGGAGGTGGCGCCGTGGAGCAAGACTGGCGGCCTGGGCGACGTGCTGGGCGGCCTCCCCCCCGCTCTCGCCGCCAGGGGCCACCGTGTGATGACGGTGTCGCCACGCTACGACCAGTACAAGGACGCCTGGGACACCGACGTAATCATTGATGTAAGTGCCGAATCCGCGCTGCCTCTGAGCCTAAATCTCGAGTGCCGCTTTACAGCCTTCTGCTAAAATTTATCGCTATCGTCGATTTGAGATAGAAAAATTCAACGTTGAAGACGAAGCAAGATTTGATGTTCCTAACACGTGGTTGCGCTGTCGCGCGGCGTGTCGTGCTGGCACGGGCAGGTGAAGGTGGGCGACGCGGTGGAGAAGGTGCGGTTCTTCCACTGTTACAAGCGCGGCGTGGATCGCGTGTTCGTGGACCACCCGTTGTTCCTGGCCAAGGTGTACGGCAAGACGGGCAGCAAGGTGTACGGGCCCAAGACGGGCGTCGACTACGACGACAACGTGCTGCGCTTCTCGCTCTTCAACCAGGCGGCGCTCATGGCGCCCAAGGTGCTGGCGCTCAACAACAACCCGTATTACTCGGGCACGTATGGCGAGGACGTGGTGTTCGTGGCCAACGACTGGCACACGGGCGTGCTGCCGGCGTACCTCAAGGTGCTGCAGCAGCAGGGCCACTTCCGGCAGGCCAAGGTCGCCTTCTGCACGCACAACATCGCGTACCAGGGCCGCTTCGCGCCCGGCGACTTCGACCGCCTCAACCTCCCCGACTCCTTCCGCCCCTCCTTCGCCTTTACTGACGGGTAAGTTGCGGGTGGTAGCGCGGTCCTGGTTTCTGGGTTGATAAAATCTTTGTGTGGATAAGCACTCCATGAATTTGCATAACAATCAATCAAACCTGAGTCTTGGAATGAATGTTTTCGTTCCTCACATGATCATTATTCAATCTGCGCCGCTCTCATACCGATCCTGCTCTCAGGTACGCGACGCCGGTGAAGGGGCCGAAGATCAACTGGCTGAAGGCGGGATTCACGGAGGCGGACATGGTGCTGACGGTGTCGCCCAACTACGCGGCGGAGCTGCAGTCGGGGCCGGCCAAGGGCGTGGAGCTGGACGACGTGATTCGCGCCAAGGGCATTAAGGGCATCGTGAACGGCATGGACGTGTCGGAGTGGGACCCGTCGGAGGACAAGTTCCTCGACGCGCGCTACGACGCGTCCAACGTGCTGGAGATCAAGCCGGCGCTCAAGGAGGCGCTGCAGGCGGAGGTGGGGCTGCCGGTGCGCGCGGACGTGCCGCTGCTGGCGTTCATCGGGCGGCTGGAGGAGCAGAAGGGGTCGGACATTCTGTCGGCGGCGGTGGAGGAGATTCTGGCGGGCGACGTGCAGCTGATCGTGCTGGGCACGGGCAAGAAGTACCTGGAGCAGCAGCTCGAGGCGCTCGAGGCCAAGTACCCCGACAAGGCGCGCGGCGTCGTCAAGTTTAACACCCCGCTGGCGCATCTCATGACGGCCGGCGCCGACTTCATGCTCGTGCCGTCGCGCTTCGAGCCGTGCGGGCTGATCCAGCTGCACGCCATGCGCTACGGCACCGTGCCCATCGTGGCGTCCACGGGCGGGCTCGTGGACACCGTGAAGGACGGCGTCACGGGCTTCCAGATCGGCGAGTTCAACGTCGACGTGAGTGCCCTCGCTGCCTTGCCCTCGCCCCCCCCCTTGATTGTGCTTTATCCTCCCTCGCCTTTACCTTTCGTGCCTTCATTACTTGCATTCAGTACGGGTACCGTCGCATCCTTGTGCTAACAATCCCGTTGTCTCCGTGTCCCTCTATCCCCTGTGTGCGCGCGGCGCAGTGCGAGGCTGTGTATCCGGAGGACGTGGCGACGCTAGCGGCGGGAGTGCAGCGCGCGCTCAAGGTATTCGGCACGCCCGCGTTCGACCAGATGATTCTCAACGGCATGGCGCAGGACCTGTCGTGGAAGGGCCCCGCCAAGGAGTGGGAGGAGACGCTCCTCTCGCTGCAGGTCGAAAACTCCTCGCCCGGCCAGGCCGACGGCGTTGAAATCGCGCCCAAGGCCCTCGCCAACGTCGCCGCCCCCTAAACGGCGCCACAGCTTCCCCCCATTTTTCACGGCCTCCTGTGGCATAGACTAATATGTACCTAATAAGATCCGCACTTGTCCCCTAGGTGTCTCCGTGCGTGTTTCTTTTTGGCTTTGTGTGCCTGGTAGAGAAGCCTGACAAGCAGGTTTCCATGTAAAGGTCTCTGTTCTTGCATAGTACAGAATCTATTTTCATAAGATTGTTCCAGTCAAAGTGAGCAACAGCTTGCTTACAACTCTCTGAAGAAACCTCGAAGTGAATCCTCCATTTTGCTATGCAGCTTGCTCTGCAACCCATTCCTAACAATGGTCTTGAGACGGATGGTAAAATGAAACTTACATTTCATGTACGATGCAGTGGAACAGTCTGTTAACTGTGACACCCACAAGAAACGGTAAGAGAAGATGACACATCCACAAAAACAAGTGACACGAATGATGCGCAAGGACAAGTGGCGATAGACGAACAGGTAGCAAGCGTATCTACTGTGGCAGATAGGAAATGAAGAAAATATCGTTCTGGACACTTGGTGAAAGAAATGTTGATACCTCCTCTTCCACTAAAACTTGCCACGGTACCCCCCACAGCAACCTTTTCTCAAAGGATAAGAGCGGCACATGAGAACCCTCAATATTATCGGTTCATTTGGGCCCAAATATTTGGGCCAAAAAGAAGAACCTTCTTTTATCGGTTCATTTGGGCCAAAAAGAACAACCAGCCCCACGCGCCCCACGTCACACCCACCCACCCACCCACCCCATGCCACGTCTCCCCCCACCCACCTGACATGCGTCACCTCGTCACGCGCCGCTCCCGTGTACCCGTCCAAGCCGCCACGTCAGCCCCAAGCCTCACATCCCCCCACGTCACACCCTCATCCATCTGCCACGTCAGGGAACAACCAGCCCCACGTGCCACGTCACACCCACCCACCTACCCCATGCCACGTCTCCCCGCCCACCTAACACGAGTCACCTCGTCACGCGCCGCTCCCGTGTACCCTTCCAAGCCCAACCATGTCAGAATCCCAACCACTAGACCATTGGGATAAAAGGGCTTGTTTCAGTAGCGGGTCAGTGCGCCCATAACCCCCCAGGCAACCGCACCTGTAACCCCCCCTAGGATCAATCGGGATCTCACAGTGTAGCTCTACTGACACCCCCCCCACACTGGGAGGCCCAGGACTGAGCACAGTGGCAACGGCCAACATGTGCATACACCGGGATTCGAACCCGAGACCGCTCTGATACCATGTCAGAATGAGGAATGGATGTTGCATTGATGTTGGTTGGGGTACATATGACAAACCCTAACTTCTGTACCCCCTAAGACAAACCTCACTACAGGCTACAACATTTGACACTAACACGAGTCACCTCGTCACGCGCCGCTCCCGTGTACCCTTCCAAGCCCCCATGTCAGCCCAACCTGCCCCATTTGGCCCGCCACATACCGGGAATGGGTTTAGAACCCTCATACCGCGATGTGGGCCTTTAGAACCCGCCACATACCCTCCACAGCTCCAAGCTGTGCGACATCAAATAGTAGCCAGCCGAGGAGCGCTCGTCCCAATCTTCCTGCAGCGCGGGGTCACTCGGTCTAGGCTCCTCCCCAATCATTAGTTTCAGCAATCCAATCTGACGGAAATATAGTTGCATTTTCCAGGCCCAATCATCATAGCCCTCGCCATTGAACTTCTCGACGGTGAAATTCTTCAGCACCTCCTTGACCAGCGAGCCCTGGTTTGTTCGCGCTCCCCTTGGCGCTGAAACACCAGAATCGTGGCTGCCGCTACGATCTTGGGCTGAAGATTCACCAGCTCCCGTCGAGGTGTTGCCCGCCATAGCTACCGTAAGCCCCCGGATAGAAGCGCAGGCCTCGGATAAGCGCCGGCGCTTATAAAAGGATGAGGGCGCTTATATCCGGTCCTCGATTATAAGCGCACCCCTAAAGGCTTACGGATTATAAGCGCCACCCTCTGAATTATTTTTAATATTTTTACTGGAAACGCTGTAACGAAACACAATTTTTGCATCCCAACATTCAGAAATTCGAATCCCTTCACCATCGCGCGACTCAATGCCTTCGCGTCCAGTCAGAATGACCTGTCATGGGGTTAATCTGACTCATTCTGACTGTGCGTGTTGGCAGAGAATCAGCCACTGCCAATTTACGCGAGATTCACATTCCAGCCCCCTACAATATCGATTCGATTCAAATCGCAAGGACGAGATGAACACTTTGGTGTAAAAAAACTAGATTTCATATATGTCATTTTATAAGCCCCGGCGCTTATAAAAATCCTCTATTATAAGCCCACCCCCCAAAAAACAGTGTTTTTTTATAACCCCAGGGGCGTTTCTATCCGGGGGCTGACGGTACCTATATCGAGGATCACTATAACGCAGCTCTGATACCAGCTTGTTGGTGTAAGGGCCTAATAAACTCAAGCTATTAATGAGAAGAATTGAACGAGAATGAAATGAGTATGAACGAAGAGAGTACAAATAGGAAACCCTAATTGGGTTGTACCCCCTATGGGATACCCCACTATAGCCTACACAAATAAGTAAGCTATTGTCAGATTTATATGACATAGTTGCTGTAGGCTATAGTGGGGTAGCACATATGGGGTACAGGGTTTCTAGGGTTGTATTTGTACCCAATCTTTCCTTAGTCATTTCATTCCTGCTTACTCATTTCACATGGTATAGAGCGGGTTCCCTGTGGAACTCTGCCTAGGGCCCACCGAAGCGCGCCCCGAGGCGCGCTCAACTTTTTTTTCCGCTCTCGAGCGACCCTCCGTGTCGCCTCCCTCCCACACGCGGCCCAGCCGCCCGCTAAGTCGCGGCCCCAGCCGCCCGCTACGATCGCGGCCCCAGCCGCCTGCTCGACGCGGCCCCCAGCCGCCTGCTCGACGCGGCCCCCAGCCGCCTGCTCGACGCGGCCCTGCCGCCCGCTACGCCGCGGCCGCCGCCCACTACGATCGCGGCCCCGGCCGCCTGCTACGACCGCGGCCCCAGCCGCCTGTTCGACCGCGGCCCCGCCGCCCGCTCCTGTCGCGGCCCCGGCTGCCTGCTCGCACGGCCTCGCCGCCCGCTACTACCGCGGCCCCGGCCGCCTGCTCGACCGCGGCCCCCCAGCCGCCTGTTCGACCGCGGCCCCGCTGCCCGCTACTGTCGCGGCCCCGGCCGCCTGCTAGCGCGGCCTCGCCGCCCTCTACTACCGCGGCCCCGGCCGCCTGCTTGCACGGCCCCGCCGCCTGCTACGACCGCGGCGCCAGCCGCCTGTTCGACCGCGGCCCCGCCGCCTACTACCGTAGCGGCCCCGGCCGTCTTCTCGCGCGGCCCCGCCGCCCACCTACTACCGCGGCCCTAGCCGCCTGCTCGCACGGCCCCGCCGCCTGCTACGACCGCGGCCTCCCAGCCCACTAGGCTACGGCCGCCGCCTACTCAACCGCGGCTTCGCCGCCCACTACGCATCGGCCCCGCCGTCCACCTGTAGCGACTGTGCGGGCGGACCTCTGAGCAGCTGTGCCGCCGAGCCGCCCGGGAGCCGAGCCGCCCTGCAGCCGAGCCGCCCGGGAGCCGAGCCGCCCTGCACCCGAGCCGCCCTGTCGCCGAGCCGCCCGGGAGCCGAGCCGCCCTGCCCCCGAGCTGCCCTGCCGCCGAGCCGCCCGGGAGCCGAGCCGCTGTGCACCCGAGCCGCCCGGTCGCCGAGCTGCCTTTCTGTCTAGCTACGCGACCTGCCCTGCTTGGTGAGCACAGTCCCACTGTCACTGCGTGCTCTCCCCCCTACTGCTTGCACTGCTTCACAGTCGTCGCCATGGCTACCCCTAGTGTCCTAGCTTTTGACGCTGAGGGTCGCGCCATTGATTTTGAGGTCTGGCTAGACGACCTGCAGCTGTTCTTACAGTGCGACAGAGCTGACGACCTTTCTCTCTTTGACCTCACCTCTGGCGCCTCTCCTGCTCCTGCTACTGATGCTGATCCAGCTGTCCGCTCTAAGTGGGCCACCCGCGATGCTGCTGCACGTCTTGCTGTGCGTCGCCACCTCCCTACCTCTGAGCGTGCGCACTTCAGTCAGTACAAGAGTGCTCAGACCTTGTACGACGCTGTAGTTGCGCGCTACTCCTCCCCTGCCACTGCTGCACTGAGCCGTCTCATGCTTCCCTACCTCTTTCCTGACCTCTCTGCCTTTCCCACTGTCGCTGACCTCATTACGCATCTCCGCACTAGTGACACTCGCTACCGCGCCGCCCTTCCTGCTGAGTTCTGCGCTAAGAACCCCCCCCCCATGTACATCGCTCTCTACTACGTAGTCGCGCGCCTCCCTGACTCCCTTCGAGTCGTCAGGGACCACTTTCTCGCAGTCTGCCCCACCACGCTCACCGTCGACCTCCTCGAGAAGGCCCTCCTCGCAGCGGAGAAGAGCATAGTCGCTGTAGGTGCTTCTCGTGGTGACCCTCGCACCCCCATCTTTGAGGGGTGCTCTCCTTCCCCCTTGCTGCCCTCTGTTGCCTCTGCTGCTGCTGCCGACCTGCTTGGTCTTGAGTCGGTCGGCGCGGCGTCTGCCCCTAGTGGGAGACGTCGCTCCAGCAAGGGCAAGGGGGGCAAGGGCGCGGGCGGAGCTGGAGGGGGCGGTGGCGGTGGCGGCGGTGGCGGCGGAGGGAGTGGGGGTGGCGGCGGGACTAGTGGCGGGGGTGGTGGTGGTGGTGGCAGCAGCGGCGGAGACAGTAGTGGTGGTGCCAGCGGTGGTGGTGGAGGCAGCGGCGAAGGTGGAGGCGGCGGAGGTGGAGGCGGTGGAGGCGGCGGCGGAGGAGGCAGTGGTGGTGGAGGGGGTGGAGCTGGTCGGGGTGGTACCCAGCAGCGTAGCGGCGGTGGTGGTGGCCAGCGCTCGCAGCGGCAGCAGCAGCAGCGCTCTCGGGACATCCCTTCGCCTAAGCAGCTTCGTGAGTGGTACGCTGGGCGTCAGAGGGGTGGGGGTACTGGTCCCTGCA